CCCTAAACCCTAAACCCTAAACCTAAACCCTAAACCCTAAACCCTAAACCCTAAACCCTAAACCCTAAACCCTAAACCCTAAACCCTAAACCCTAAACCCTAAACCCTAAACCCTAAACCCTAAACCCTAAACCCTAAACCCTAAACCCTAAACCCTAAACCCTAAACCCTAAGTTTTTATCACAAACCTAATCCATACGTCACTCGTATAACTACTGTCACGATAATCATCTCAGCTAGAAAACCAAACACATCGAAGACATCGTCAGAATACTCAGTATTCCACAAGGAGAGCCCCGCAAACATCTCCTTCAACATTCAGAACGTCTCCTGATTTGTTTGAAAGTGAAATGTCTCCAGAGCCACTCATCGTGTCACACCGAGAGTCCAACGACCTTGACAATATTTGTAGTTCATCACTTTGCGAGATAGCCAAAACAAAACCCTCAACCCTAGAACCCTAAACCCAATTCCCCTAGAATTAGGGTCTAGAATACAAAATACCCTAAAAGAGTGAGCCAAACCCCTTCACCCTAAACCCTAAGCGCGCGGCGTTGGTCGCTGAAGAAAGTGACCGCTGAGCGCGATTCGAAAAACGCGAAGTTTGGCGCGTCCAAGCGTCGTCGCTAGGAGTCGGGGGGGGGGGGCGGACGGGGCGTGAGGGGCGCTAGGAGGAAGCCTCTTAGCGCTCTTGCGTTCACCGCCGGGCGTTCCTAAACTCTTTGCGGCGCCGTGGGAGGCCGAGAAGCGCGAACGGGGCGATCGGGCGATCAGCGAGCGCGCGGCGAGTTTCGCGCGGTGTTCAGCCGCGCGAGCGATTCAGAGGTCGAAACGGCCGCTGTGAGTTGAAAAGAAGGAGTTTCTTCGATTCGTAGGCCGGGACCCTGGAAAACCGGCGAGTTGGACAGACACGTGTGTGCGTACGTTACGTGTGCGTACGTGTGCGCGTCGCAGAATGAAATGAGCAAACGTTCAAGCACATCTTGGAGGGTTTTTACGGCGGCGAAATCGGGAAAAGTGAAATTTTGAGCGAAATTTTGAGCGAAATTCTATCTCCCCCGTGGTGAAATTTCGTTTTTTTTACTTGACGCCACCAAAATTTCGTTATCACCGGCTATCTCCCCCCCGGCCTTTACACTCTTCGGGTATGGTGACAATATCTCACGCCTTCAGAGGAGTCCCTCGAGCAAAATCCGCTGCCGCGGGCGAAATTGAATTCAATAAGAAGGAGCCGCGGATCGTAAGAATCCTCACAATAGGTAACGCGACCTAGAAGGTTCTGCGTCTCAGATCTTAGTCGTTCAGCCTCACGGCAGGTTTGAGATGAAGCTCCGCAGGGGAATCGTGCGTGTGGTAACCATACTACTACCGGTACTAGTACTAGTAGTACTTGTAATGATGTTGACACTTGCATCCGTGAATCATATGACAGCTTTTCACAAGCTTCGAGCCGAAGAACAACTGAAAATCTTGTCCGACAAAGTTGAACACGAAGTAGCAGATAAGGTTACTGAGCTGATAAGAAAGCACGGTTGTGAGCACTTCTACTTAGACATGGGAACAAATATTGGCGTACAAATACGAAAATTATACGAACCCGAAAAGTACCCATCCGCTCCAGTTCACGCAGTCTTTGAGAAATATTTTGGAACAGGGCAACGTTGCAAAGTTTGTTCAGTTGGGTTTGAACCGAACTCAGCCCACCGAAGAAACAATGATCATGTTCAACAGGCACTCGCGAACGTCGGATTCGGGGTCATAATTTTACCAGTAGCTGTGAGCTCATACACTGGACACGCTACTTTCGCCAAACCCGGGGTTGAAGTAGACGCCCATGAAGACTGGGGTGGGTCGATCTCTGCCGCACAAAGCGTTCAAGCCGGAAATGCACTTGAATCTACCGTCACCAGAGTGAACGTTGCCAATGTGATAAGGCATACGCGTGCACACCTAGACACGAACAACGGCACTGGTAAAATTGTAGCCAAGTGTGATATTGAGGGTTCGGAGTTTGAGTTGCTGCAAAGTCTCATCATGTCGCAAACAATTTGCCTTATTGATTACATGTACATAGAGTGGCACAAGGTAACAGAACAAACTTTGCATAAAGTCGCAACGACACAAGGAATAGTGACTTCGCGTCATGGCGCAGCTCAGGCTCTTGGATATGTGAACACATTTGTCCAACAAGTCACAAGTGCTTACGACGAAAATCGCGCAGATATGGCTTCTTGTCCGACAATAGTTAAATGCTTGGATGACGAATCATTTTTGCACGACGGCCTGGGATTTCCTACGGGGCGTCTTTGTGTGGAGCACGGCTGAATGTCAACTGGGTTGGGATTCGGCATTCTCATCATCGGAAAAAATTATACTACCTCCATTCGGCTACCGTAGATCCGGCAATAGAGGGTGAAAAATGATACACCTGATTTCGTCGGGTCGTCGACGCGCGTCTACTTGATGGTTGATCGATAGGCGGCTGTCCTTGTCAAAATGCTCAGTCCCGGGGGTCGACCTTGACCCCTATTCCGGTACCTCCCAAGCCTATTCGACCAGCCCGCGGCGCGCCTGCACAGACGCCGCTCGATACTCCTGTGTGTAATACTTATACGTTCTTTTGGACTATCACAATCGACTACGAGAGCGATAGCAACTGGGCTACGCGGGCGCGCGGATTGCCAAGGCGTGCGCGTTGCTTGTCGACTACTTGTCGACCGCGACGCTTGGATCAAAGGGTCACAGGACGATTCCTGAATCGTCCATCTTGTGGCCCCTTTACTGCTCTCCGATCAGGACTCATTCGTTATCCAAATGATCTTGTCCTGCTCGCGCGACGCATGTTTGCCTTTACTATCATTCTCCATATTTAGAGCCCTTTGAAGATAGGAAAGAGCCGACTCTTTCCATCACGTCGAAACGGTTCGTGCGAGCTCGAAAGGTAAAATCACGATCTATGGGTCGTGCTCGTGATTCAAATCACGAAATTTCGAGTCGTGATTTAGATCGTGATCGTGATTTTACCCAACCTAGAAACTTCGTGATTTGCACCACGTTCACGTCCAAAGCTCGTTCTCTATCAGCATCGCTTTCATTTTCGGAGCACAAACCTGGCCGTTTCGTCCGAGCGCACAAGAGCACTTTACTTGTGTATGATCCCTGTCCAAGGCGCAGTCTTCTAAAGTCTCTAAACCGGACACGTTGTGCACTTCTCCCGAGTAGTTGACTCTATACGACACAGAGAACCGCGTGCCTTCATCGTCCGTTGTTTCTTTCTCAACATCTTTCATGCCATCGATCGTTTTCGCCTCGTCTAAGACATGAAACATGGCCTTCCTAACACGCGCAGGCGCAATGCTCGTCTCGGCTTGACAGACCTTGTCACAATATCGAGGAATGATTTCGTGCTGTAAGTGATGAATGAGCCAGTCCATGCGACGACATCGGATATCTCCCTTGCCATCTGCGATGAGGCGAGCCTTCCAACGTCCATGAAACGATTCGATTGATCCAGTTGTCTCCTGCGTCCCATATGTCAACCCACTTCGAAAATGTCTCGCCCAAAGCTTCCTATGTCGCCCCCATTGCGTCTCCAAGTACTTTCGAAAGGATCGCCACGTCGTCCATGACGCATCACCGAATTGTTTATCTATTTCTTTCTGCTTATGGTCACAGAATTCCAAAACGCTCGTGTATGCTTTGTCCCATGCATCATCATCCTTAAATGTTTCCTTCACCAGCTTCCAAAGCATTTTCTTGATCTGTCCACGCTCTTTCGGCGAGATGGCTATGGAAACCTGAACACCTTGCTTCTCGGCTAGCTTACTCGTTATGTTTCGATTGAACGCCTGGAACACGTGGAATTGACACCACAACACTCTCGCTTTCGGGAATACCTGCTCGATGGCATTTGTTTCAGCCCAGCAACAGTCTACCATGAAAGTGCTTGGACACCAAGTGCCTCCTGGATACTTTCTTTTGATTCTGTCGCGAATGACTTGAAGGCAGTACACAATCGTTTCCTGGCGCTCATCTGACGTGATGAAGAACGCGCAAGGCATATAGAATCCATCTGGGTGCCTCGCAATGAGTGTGAAGGTACTGAACTTTGATCTGGTGATGTTGAAGGTAGAATCCATCTGAATGCATCTTTGATTGCCATACTTCCACAGAAGGCGCTCTTGCGCCGGACTCATAAGAACAAGTATGAACGGTTGATAAACGACCATCTGTTTCACCATACGTCCTTGCTTGATTCGCACGCGCGGTAATTTCTCCGTTGCGCCATCTCGGTAAAATTGTTTGCCAAGAGGTGACTTGGCATCTACCACTTGTTGCAGCGTTGTCTTCTCATTTGGCGAACATGCAACGTTTGGTCGTTTTGTATCGATTCTGCCCTGGATTCCCATCTTCAGTATCTCGTGGACTGCTCGGCGACGCTTGTCGGCCACGGATTCGCTAGTAAAAACTATACCGGGTGGTTCCGCACCTGGTGAAATGCTCATGCGCATGCACAACTCTCGTGAAAAGGCTAGCACAAACATGCCACAATCCGATCCATTCTTCTGCATCATTTGCTTCGGTAGTACTTTATGAACGATTTTCCAAGCGCTCTTGCGGCCCACGGAGATTTCATTTGCTTCACCATCCTTGCAAATCCACTCCAGAAGTTTGTCACCAACATGGCGGTACTCCTCGTTGTACGAGTCAATGATGTATATGACTTGGCTCTGCACATCCACAACCGAACACATCCAGTGCGCGTTTCCAATGTTGATCGGAATAAAGACGTATTTTGATTCGAGCCATGCATGCGTGGCCCGTCGCCCCGCTCTGCTCCACATTTCCACGGCGCTTATCTATCCCTCTGCATTGAGTTTGGTGAAAAAGAATGAGTTTGCACACCTCACCACAGAAGCAGGCAATCGCTCGAGTCTCGCGTATCGCGCAGCGTATAGGTTGTGTTTACTCATGAAGAAGTTGATTACTTCATCGTTCAACCAACTGCGAGGCTTCAACGTCTGCAGTGACTCCCTTGTGACCGTCGCGGAGAACGGCAACTGAATTTTAGCTACGAGCTCACTCTTTTCACCTTCGTCGAGGAAGCGACCAAACGCTGCGTCAATACGATCAACCTCCGGACGTGGTCGGACATCGAGTCGTCGATGTCCGCCTATCGGCAAACAGTACGCATCCGCTACGTTCTACCATGGGCATCCCACGTTCGACGCATAGGTGCCCTACGTTCTACCCATACGTGCCCTACGTCTCATGCTAAGTGGTCCACCAGCTTCCCTTACCCCAGAAGAGCATTATTGGATGTTAGGAGACCAGAAACTTTGCGATTGAAGTGTCCTAGGAGGTTTATATTGACTATTGCGCCATCGCTCTCCGATCGTGGCGAACCCTGTGGTTGGATGTTTCGCTCGGCCCAGACTGCAAACCATCTTTGAAAGGATCCAGTCACGCCTATCAATAACGGCGCACATGTTCAAACACGTTGCTATTCTTTATGGATTAGAGACCGAATCTTGTGTTTGAGCTGACCTCCACCGACATCTTCAGTCAAAGAGAAGAATCGTTTCAAAGTATTTTCTCCATCTGCGAGAATGGGAAGTTTCAATGTCTCTATAAGCAAAGTATGGTTAGTTTCTAAGGCTAGGATTTGAAGTAGTGCTTGCTCTGGGTGCTGAACATCGAAGTAAATAAATCTTTTTTTGTTAAAGATACTGAAGATATCTGTTGTACCATAATAAACAGGCATGGTCCCAGCGATGAACGCGTTAGCAATTTTTTCGCTGACGTAGCCTTCCTCGTTACTGTTCTCCATCACTAAAGCGAACCTATACTTACTCAGCTTATCTGCAACATTCAGAATCCTACCCGCTCGATCGTTCATGTAAATGCTCGTTTCAGCGTGGTTACCGTGGCACTTCCCAGCAGCTGCAGGCGTAGGCATCGCATGCGTGACTGCAAGCTGTACTATAGAGTCATAAGCCTTTTCACGGAATGGCACACAGTTTGAGTTGAGATAAATCAAGAAGTTTTCTGCCAGGCGTGAATGCACCTGTAGAAAGTCTGTCGCCGAGTAAGGGTGAAATAGTGTCGTGTGTGCGACGTGGAAGAGCTGCAAGTGGCCAGCCACCTTTCTTGGAGGATGCTTCACGCCCAAATAATATAAGTTCGGATGCGCAAGCTGTTGCATTCGCCCATTTTCTCCATCGACGAACAGGACAGTCCCAGGATAGTCATTGACTGAAACAGGTTCACAAGGGAGCGATGCTATCATGACGTCGTGTACGCAAGCGGGCGTTACATTCATATGCCACTTCGTTATATCGGCCTCTGGGAATACCGCCGCCGCAAAAGTTTTAAACTGGTATCCGCATAAGTGTACACGAAATCGAGTCTCCTCATGAAGAGCTGTCATAAAACCTGGCGAGTAGTTTCTGCGTGAATGAAGGTTGAACGTGTACACCACGAGCACTGAACTCAGCAATAGAAAAACACAACTCACTTTCCTTACTTGGTAACTGTTGCGTTTAGACTTCATGTCGTCAAGTGTCTAAACACGGCTTTGAAACCAAGTGCGTACTGCGAGTCGAGCAAGTTGAGTAGGCCTGACTCAGGCTGAAGAAGAGATTGCTAAAACTCTAAAATTTTGGCAAATTTTAGAGAATTTTTTAGAGTTTTGGAGATTTTCCGACTCTAAAATTCAATTGGCAATCTCTATAATTCTATAATTTTTAGAGAAAAAGGGGCTCGTGACTCGTCGCGACGACGAGTCAATTTTAGAAAATAGCGGGTGAAGAAGAGATCCGTTGGACCGCGAGCCGAACCGGCATTCGTCGCCATGCAAACGCCGAGTGCGGAGCGCACCGAAGCGCCGGACGCATTCGAATCGCAGTCCGACGTGACGGGAGACGATGTGCACGACCACGTGCTTCTGTCCGCGCTACGCACCGTCGTTAGATCGTCTGGTGGCGCGCCCTCTGCGGCGAAAGGGGGGCGCAACTACGCGTGGACGAACACCGAATCGCCCGCCGCTTTACTCGCGCGCGAGGGCGCCAATAACAAAGAGCAGCGCGAGAAGACTGATGTTAGGGCCAAAGACTGCCAACGTCGCTTCATCGGTGCACTTCGCGTCGTAGAAGCTTCGCACGCGGAGCTCGAGCAGAAGAACATATCCGGCCCATTTTTGCCCATCCTCTACCGCAAAGCGAACGTCGATATGGCCGCGACGCCGCAACAAGCGGCGACGCAACGCGGCGGAAACGAAGGCAAATCGGTGCTTGTACGCGGAGACGCGATCTACGCGTGCATCGTCAAGCACGTATTACCAGTCGCCCGCAGAACGTACACGCATCGTGAGTCGGGCATCAACTGGATGGACGTCTCCGCGGCTGTCAGCGCGCATGTCGACGCGTTGCTGACCGCAGAGCCACCGCTGAGTAAAACGGACCGCGAATTACTATCTGCAGCTCACTATGCATGGCAGTGGACGTGCCCGGAGAATCCCGATGTCTGCGCGTCGTCGACGCTAAGCAAGCACGCCTTGATGAGCTTCAACCTCACAAAGACCCTCGCGCGTCCCGCGGAAGCGTATCCCCAGAACCGCGCGGACCAGCGCTCGCGGAAAGCGTTGCGTGAGACATCGCAACGCGGTGCTGTGGCTGCAATGCGTGCGACTGACTCCGCGCAAAAGCGAAGGCGTGAACAAGATGAACTTCGGACGTCCCTTCTCAAGAAGAAGACTCAAGTTTTAGCGCTGCTCGAGGAGGAGCTGCTGGCCATGCGAGCAGAGCGACTGCGCGAATCTAACCCATCCGACGACCATCGTGTGGGACTCATCGCATCCGGTGCGACCGATTCCCATGCACGCGCGGGTGGACTCACGTTTGCCGAACGCCTCGAACGCACAGATGAGGAAGAAGCATCGAACGAAAACGCTGACGAGTGCGCGACCGACGTGGCGCGCGCAACGGAACCCGCGATGTCACCGGCACAAGAAAACGTTCCGCCGAACGAATCTCACGGGCGCGACGCGCAGACTACGGCGTGCCAGGTACCAGTCACTACCACTCAGGACGAAGCATGTGTGCCATCTACTGATGTCACGCCCGCGTGTACGCCGCGACGATCGGTTCGCGCATCGAAGCCCAATCTGCGTTTGCAGCGTGTGTAAACGATGCGTCCACGTCGAGCTCTCGCATAATAATACATGTACATTACATTGCGGCGCGCTGCAAGTGTACTATCTCTCCATTGTCACTCCGGACTACTCTTCGACGAGTGGCATGTAGGTGGTCTACCCCACCAAGTTTTGTAAGACTGTTGAAATGAATTATCAAGCTGTTCTGGCGTGTCCTATACGCTTCAAGCTCTTCTACACGCGTAGCGTCAAGGTGCGAAGTAGTCCGTTGAATCATTCGAGCCCTTGCTATTCTCCTGTCCAGTGCGGTGTCATCCGTGTGTACGACGGCATCGACAACTTCCGCAGAGTGTCCTGCGTTTCTGTCCCGCCGCTCAGCCAAACGATGCGCGTAATATTCCGCGTCCTCCACGTCACGCTCGTGCCACACCTGGACCACAGCGGCATCTTGCTCTTCAAAATCTCCCACATTCACAGCCTCTAGCCGAGAGTTGTAATCTCGCAACAACCGTCGCCGTGTGAGTATGTTGTGTAAAACAAGACACGTGCGCCACGTATTTTTGATTTGCTCGAAGTCACGAGTAAGCGACGGTATTCGTAGTATTTGAAATCGTTTTTTCAGTTGCCCAAAACACCTCTCAACATCTTTTCTCACTGACTCCAGTCTCTCGTTCCATGCATACTCGAACTCCGTCGGGGCGGAGATTGTCGCCATTTTCGTACAGTGCGTGTTGAAACCACCATCACATATCGTATACACTCCTTTCGCCGTGACAGTGTTTCCAGACACATCAAGTAAATCATACTCGTAGTCCGAATACAGCGTGTTTGTTTGCAGTGCGTTGTGGTACTCATCATCTAAGATAAGAGTTTTATCGTTCGACGCCCCGGGACCTACACGCGTCGCGTGTAGCACGATGCAGTCATTATCGACTGTGACGACACTCGCGTACGTTGCTGCACCCTTGCGCCCGTTATAAAACATTCGATTGGTCACAGCGGGTGCAGCATCCCAAGGCATGTGGACAACGTCTACACTACCGACGCAACCTGGAAACCCCTGCGCGCGATACGCGCGCTCCGTTGCGCGTATACTGTCCAGTGTTTTCGGATAGTGCACGTGCCTCGAGTAATACGCGTCACTCGAGAAGTACGGGGCGAACTTCCGCGTGAAGAACTCTCTGAGGACAGGTACGGACACGAATGCACACTCCGCTATAGTCGGCCAGTGCGCACCACTCGCGAGACGCTTGAAGCTCGCCATGAGCAATAGCCGAGGAGGCACACTCGCACTTCTCGTTCGCTTCCGGAAAACCCCTGCTGTCGTCATTTCATCCTCGAAATCGCAGAACAACTCGTGAGGAATTCGAAATCTCTCCTCGAACTCGTCCAACAGCAACGGATGGCTCTCGACGTTCTCGCGGTCGATGTACTGGTGCCAGAAGCCCGTACCCCATTCGCCATACCAGCGCGCGTGGCCCTGGCGGTCACGAAAGCGCGGCCGCTCCCGCAAGAAAACCTGCCTTGGACGTCGAAACGCCTGCTGGGAGCCGGCGTCAACATCCTCTTGCGATGACACGTCCTCATCGTCGTCCTCGTCACTGAAGGATCCAGTAAGAAGAGCGGTGTGGATGACGGCGAGACGACGCACCGTCTCCGCGCGTCGCCTCACCATCGCGTGACTCACACGGCGCGACGTCCGCAGCCTACGCGCCCGCGACTGACGTCGTGACCGCAATCGCCAACCACCCGCGTACATGCACACTGTTTAATCATATGAACTTAAACCCACCACGTCGTGCACACCGCGATGTTCTACGCCAAACCCTGGACGTCGCTAGACGCGCATGGTCCGCGGCTTCCATCAAGCGAGCGAGCGCGCCGTTTCTCGCGCGCGTCCACCGTCGAGCGCCGATAGTCTTCTGTTCTTATTTTCGCAATCTCTTTTTCACTTTTTCAAGCAAGCTAAAAAATGGCCCCAAAATTATAGAGTTTTAGCAATCTCTTCTTCAGCCTTAGTTGAGGGACACTTATGACTTGCGAAGATCGCACGCGATGCTACTTCCCACTCATCCATGTCCACATACGTTTCTGACGCAGTTGAGTTACTCGTGAACTGAATGATGTGATATTCAACCCATGAAGGTGCAAAGTATAGAGAGTAGTATGAAGCGAATGCCCACTGTACCTGCGCACTTCGAGGACCAGCGATGTACTCGACAACCTGCGGGCGGGACAGACAACTAGTAATTTCGTCATTACGCAAGTGTGGCATAAACAAAATCATAGCGAAAGCGCCCCCATGAGGTCCAACGAACAATGAAGCGGAGCGGAATAAGAGGAACTGTTCCTTTTGAGACATCGGTGCACCGTCTTCATGTTGCCCATCATATACCACCACCTTTTCTGGACGTCCGCACGCTTTCAGCTTTGTCGTTAGAGAATGGACAAGTTGCTGCTCATTTTGTTCGTTCATCTTGCGACCGTTTCCTGCTGAAGCACCGCGAACATAGTACAATGCAACGGACTCGTTCTGCGTCAAGTTCAGAGCCTCAGAGCGTTCCAGGATCCAATTTCTTGCCAATTCGATGAAAATGGGGTGTCCGAAGGCACGAGGTGCTCCAGTTGGTCGTCCTTCAAGACTATTGGGCGTCCAATTGGCTGTTTCGTATTTACTTTCAGAGTTACCCTTAAAATCAAAGAAATCATGTTTGTAGACTGGGTAAAAAATCGTACCTCGTATACAAACAGTAGAGTCGCGTTTGACCCAAAGTATCCTTGCTGCAAACTCAGCGTCAAAGAATTCCATGAATTCTCTGTTGGACGAAATATCATCTAAAAGTAAAGCTTTTGTGGAAGCAAGGCCACTCGACAACACCGAACTCAGCACTGACCGAAGCCATGCTATAACAGGTAAATGTTCATATATGAAATGTGCGTGTGCTGTGAACCACCAGTCACGATGCACAACCACTGCCCCTGAGAGTTCATGGTCGCACTGTTCGTTTTCGTCCCTTAAATCTTTGAAATCTAAGAGGCTACCCAGTGTGAATTTCAGTGATACATCAGTTCTGGATTCAACTGATGCTCGAGGTGTTGAGGGGGACTGCGATCGCATTGCACTGGTTACCCAAGCGGTGAACGGCTCGATATCTGCTGTGTCCAGTGCGTGTGCATGGAGAACTCGACGGCAGGTTGTCAGTTGACGAATGTTAAAGGTTTCCAGGTTTGCGGTGCCGACATGTTTCTCAGCCGGGCAGTTTTCAGAGTGCTGCGGCATATCACGGTTCTGTAGAAGCTTCCAACAAAGCTGCAGTACAACAAACAGTAGTACATACCCTAGCCAAATCCGCCTAAGGCTTTCGCGCCTTGAGAAGAACGAAGCTGATGAGCGCAGCATGCAGATAACTGGAACGAAATATAGTGCGTGTCCTCCGTTCGTTGTCCAAAGTGTTAGGCTGAAAGGGAGATTGCTAAAATTCTAGTAGTATAATTTTGGCAAATTTTAGAGAATTTTTTAGAGTTTTGGAGATTTTCCGACTCTAAAATTCAATTATTGTCACCATACCCGAAGAGTGTAACTCGAGGGTCGGTGACCCTCCCGCGGTATATGGATTTTGACACGGCGCACACGACGAGTCGTGAATCGACCTCTTTTTGGGGCTCTAAAATCCCGGCGAGGGGGTACGCGAGAGAAACGCGAGTCACGACCCGTCGAAGACCCCTCGTTGACGCGACGAGTCGTGATGCGATGGAGAGCTGATTTTCTGGACCCGCGCGCGACGACGGCGACGACGCGAGCGCGAGCGCGGACGCGGACGCGAACGGTTTCGTCTGCCGATCGCGCGCGCGCGCGCGTCGCGGCGTCGTAAGGAGGCGCGACGCTGGGGCGAGCAATGTTGACCGTAAACCCTATTTTCTAGGGTTTAGAATACACGGCGCGAGTTCACGCCGCGGATCGATTCGTCGACGTTTTTTCACTTTCCTCTCCAAATTTGAGCGATTTTCGTCGCGATTCGACGTCGCAACGCGCGTTAAGGTGCAAATTGATGTGATTGCATGCGATGTGATTCACCGATTGGTCTCCACAGTGCGACCGCTCGAGCGTCGACGGCGCGCGCGAGATTCGCGGTAACGACGGAAGAAGTTCGCGCGATCGAGAACTCCGCGTCAGGCGATCGAGCAAGCTGTCGTGCGGGGCAGCGTGACCGATTTTTGACGTATCTCCAGGTGGCATCGTGAATGCATCTTTAGTGACCGATGCAGTTGAATTGCGCGACATCTTCACCCTACCTGCCTCGACGCCGCACGAACGTTGTAAACAGTTACGACAGCAATCACTGCCGATCTCGCTGTCTGAAAGCGTCTACAGCGTTCTCCGTCGTCCAGAAACTACCTTTTCCCATACATTTTTGAAAAAAATTTCTGCGGCCCGGAATTGCGCGACATCTTCACCCTACCTGCCTCGACGCCGCACGAACGTTGTAAACAGTTACGACAGCAATCACTGCCGATCTCGCCGTCTGAAAGCGTCTACAGCGTTCTCCGTCGTCCAGAAACTACCTTTTCCCATACATTTTTGAAAAACATTTCTGCGGCCCGGAATTGCGCGACATCTTCACCCTACCTACCTCGACGCCGCACGAACGTTGTAAACAGTGACGACACCAATCACTGCCGATCTCGCCGTCTGAAAGCGTCTACAGCGTTCTCCGTCGTCCAAAAACTACCTTTTCCCATACATTTTTGAAAAAAAATTCTGCGGCCCGGAAATTGCTCGAATTTACCGAAATTTGCCGCGCGCCGCGCGTCGTCGAACCGCTACCGCGAGCGTTGAAACGAGAGGTTTGAACCAAAGGCACGTTAATGCTCACAACGCGCCCTCGAGTGACCGCTCGGACGGCGCCGACGCGCGGGTCCAGAAAATCAGCTCTCCACGAATCCATATACCTTTTGGGGAGGGGCGAGGGGGTTAATTACGGTTCATGACCCGTCAGTGGTATCGACGAGTCATGACTCTGTTTTCATGCACTCGACGCAGAGACGGGGATCTGCCTAAATCGAGCCTTGTTTGTTTTGGGGAGTGTGTGAAACGACCAATCATGACTCAAGAGCTATTTACATATTTAATGCGCACTTCGAGTATGTATCACGAATGCGGATCCTCGCACAGCTTGTGTTTTTACCTTGTACAAATTTCGGCAAGTTTTCGCAACACGCGACACGTGTGCGCGGATAACGCGCCGACGAGGCAGCGAAGACGTGCGCATGCTTCGCCACACGTAGTATCCATCACACACTATCGGATCACTGACGTTCTCACGAGATGAAATCGCTCAGTCGAATGTAGAAGGCAGAACAACCTCACTCTGACAGAGCCGTGAGGAGACACCTTGAATCCTGCCCAAACCCTAGATAAACCCTAACCAAACCCTAGTTAGGGTTGATGACACATGCACAGCACGTGCAATACACGCTGACACCACAGTTAAGTGGATACGATGAACAACACAAGGCGCTCAAAGTCCTTTCCGAAGCCCGTAACGCGGATGAAAGCGACACGTCGAGCGCTTGTGCGCGTAGAACACTCGCGAGAAATAGACACCTAAACCCTATGTAGGGTTTATGTAGGGTTTAGGTAGGGTTTAGGTAGGGTTTAGGTAGGGTTTAGACGTGGTTTCTTGAGAGCTTGGGGTGGAGTACCAGAGCGCGAGGAACTGCGTGAGGACGTCGCTATGTCCGTCGTATGCCACAGAAACTGGATGAATCTGATGTAACATGCATGTATCTACAACTGTTCATCGCGACGGACGTCTTCGCTGCCTCGTCGGCGCGTTATCCGCGCACACATGTCGCGTGTTGCGAAAACTTGCCGAAATTTGTACAAGGTAAAAACACAAGTTGTGCGAGGATCCGCATCTAGGTTGGTCGCATCACGATCTATGAGTCGTGATGCTGACGCCCATCACGAAATCGATGATTCAGATCATGATGCTATATTGAGTGTATGTAAAGCCTATCATTTGCTGATATTGACGGGTATACCTCACTGATAGGCATCACGTGACTGATAATACGCTATGTCGGTACCGGTTTCGAGGAAATACAGCGATGATAAGTAAATTGTGTCACTGTTCTAACCCTAGCACCCCCCTCGAAGAGCGTCGCTGCCTGCTTGAAATCGGAACTTTGCGAAGTTCGCGCGCCAAAATCAAGTCACGATCGATGTCTACTCCGCCCCCTTCGTCTACGTCTGCGCCGTCCGATCGGGCGCCCGCGCCCGCAACGAACATCGTCGTCGTCGAAGACAGCGAGCAGGACACGTCGAAGCAGGCTTCGGGCACAACGCCTGGGAACTCGCGCGCAAGCATCGCGACGTTCTTTGATCGTCCTAAATCTTTTTCGGAAAAGCTCCAGGATCGCCTAGAAGAAAGTGGCGGCGACGATTGGACGGAAGTCGATCACGCCGACGCGAAGGATAGGATGTCTGCATTGCTTTGTGGCACGGTTCGTTCGTGGACGCAGGATGGGGTGATGAAACACAAGTGTGTGGTGTGCGGTGCGGAGATGACCAACACGAAGATTGGAATTGTTCGCCCACTCGCGCACGTCTTGGGACTGCCCATGAGCGGTGCGAGTGTAAGTGCGTGCGAGAAGCGCTTGAATGAGGTGTTGCGTCGTGGTTTGCAAGTGTTCGGGCGGGTTGTCGACAAGAGAATTCCGCACGCGGTCGTGAACATAACGCGAGAGCAACGCGTGTATATCATCGAGCAACTCAGGAGAGCCGTCGACAAGTGTCAAGCCAGAGGCTGGGTACCGCCCGTCGATACGGACATCATCAACGAGGTCCGAACGCCTGGTGGGCTATTCGACTTGAAGGGAGACGACGCGAACGACGTCCTTGATGATCACATCGTCGAATTCGCCGCGTGGAACGACTTATCGGTGAACGCGATCTCCGGGCGCGGTCGTGGCTCGCTTCACGCTGTGCTCGTAGCCGCTCGCCGGGTGGACGCAAAGGATTGGCCTAAGACGATCGATCGAAAAAGATTCGGATCGTCGAAGGGCGAGCTCACGAGAGTGATGGAACGTCAAGTGAAGCGCGCGACGAACGACTTTACATGCCAAGTAGGGGACCTGAAAACCTCACGAGTTGGAGTCAGTCTTTGTGTTGACGCGATGAGTAAAAATGACCGGTGCACCAACAACTCTGTTGTGTGCAGCGCGAGGGGCGACATGGTCGTCGGATCCACGTGGACGGAGAATCAGGCGAAGAACATTCCCTGGCACGTGACGGACCTCAAAAAGTGCCTCGACGCCGTCGGGTGGGACGCGGTATCGTTCATCGTGACGGATGGCGAACAGGCGTGTAAATCCGCGGCGGAGCAAATCTGCGCGGAGGTAGAGGACTACGAGCCGAGTCCGGGCGTAACGAGGACGCGACTAAAGTATCCCAAAATACTTCCGCAGCGTTGCGCGACGCACGGGTATTCGTTGCTTCTGAAAGATCTCACGGGCGTCAAGACCGATCACATCCGATGGCTCGAGCGGACGTTCGTGCTCGTCACCGAAGTGAACGAGTTTATGCGCATGCACACGTTCGCAAAGCGTGCACGCGACAAACACGCAAAAGAAGGAAACGTCCGCAAACTCCTGAGGTTTGTGGACTGTCGTTACGCGTCCTTTTTCTACCTCGTGGAGAGGTTTGAGGAGAACTGGTCGGTGATCGCGAAGGCGCTCATTGACATCTGCGACGATCGCAGCGCCTGCGGGAACGCGTTCAGAGAAAAGGCGCGGGAGTATAATATATGGATGGGTATGCCTGGATTCCGCAACGCGGTCGATGCGAGCATCGTAGTGCTCAAACCGATCGTGAAGGCCATGCGTCTCACTGACGTGAAGCGACCGAATCTCTCTTTCGTCGTGGAAAACTTCTTCAAAGCGCGCGCGGATACGTTGAGCGCACTCCAAGCTGCGTTCGAGAAGATGAGCGCGGCCGACGCGACCGCGACGGGAACCACAAGACCCGGTCGGGCTATGTTGAAGTATATGCTCGCCGAAATCGAATGGTATTTTGACAAACGCCAGCCGGACATAGTAAGCGAATGGGCATGGGCCGCCGACGCGCTCTCGGCGCCACGGCACCTCACCGCCGAGGTGGACGCCGACGTCAATTTTGCCAGTCGGAGATGGGACGCGGTATCCACGGTCCTCCTCCGACAGTTTCCCGCGGACTCGCCCGAGTATAAGGACGCCGTTATGGAGTACGACGAATTTGTAGCCAGGACGGACGTGCGCCTGTCCGAGGGGTTCTTCGCGCGAATGTCGCCGTCGGAACGATTTCCGGTTCGTACTAAACCGGAGGACGTGACGATGGATCGGTTGAAGCAAAACGACTCGTATTGGACGTATCGTCGCCACCGCGGGAGTGCGCTCGCGGACGTTGCCATGAGACTTGGGCACGGATTCGCCGGACAGGGCAGCGCCGAGCGTGTGAACAAGGCGGTGTCTAGGATTTACACGAAGGTACGGAACAGAATGGATGCAATATTGACCGATGCGTGGGTAAAAATCAAGTACTGGGTCGGACGTAAGCGAAAACGCGCCGAGGATTCGTCAAAAGCGCTCTCCTCACCCAAGGCGCCGGTACACCCCACGAACGTCGAAGAGTACGAGAGTGACAGCGAGGACGAAGAAGCACCGAATACAGAGAATCCAAACGAGCCGCTCCCGCACAACATCAGAATCACCATGGAGAACGGGTCGGAGCGCGTGCTGCGCCCTCTTGCTCTGCAAGGCCTGAGCTTCTTCGACGTGTTTAACGCGCTCTATGAACAAGTGCCTGGAAACACGCGCTTTGGACCGCTCTACGGGACCCGGGTGCAGTTCTGGAGCGATCTCTTGGGGACTGTGATCGATGAAGCGACTCCGGCTGGTGGTGACTACCCGCCGCGCACAGCGATGGCGGACGCGCCCACGCCTGATGGAGCTGGGGAACGCCCGATGGACGTCGAAGTGCAAACCGCGGTCGCGTCGACGCCGACTCCTGTAGCACTAATCGATCCAACACCAGGGCAATCACAGGGGACGCCGGAACCGGAGCCGAGGAGCCCGGTGGTAGCTGAGACGACTCGTGAGCAGTTGAGTGCCCTTGTCCATGCTCTTGGAGAGGCCGACGGTCGACCAGCCCCGGTCAACGGTCCATCAGCCCCGACCGCTGCTACCTCTACTCAACTCGTTCGCGAAGGCGCCGATCGCTGCAAGCTATGCGTGAGTCGCGGCGACGAGAAGTGCGCGCACGCGCGTAAGACCGAGCGTTCGGACGACCGCGTGACGCGCGCGAGCAAGCGTTCTCGGCGAGATGCACCCAATTGAGTATTATACCTCTATTTAGTCTATCATGTATTTTTTTATATAAATTCGGACAGTCGGACAATTTCCTCCAAGGTCGCATCACGATCCATGGGTCGTGATGCTGATGCAGATCACGAAGTTTCGGGTCGTGAGGGAGATCGTGATGCTGATTTTACCCAACCCAGATCCGCATTCGTGATACATACTCGAAGTGCGCATTAAATATGTAAATAGCTCTTGAGTCATGATTGGTCGTTTCACACACTCCCCAAAACAAACAAGGCTCGATTTAGGCAGATCCCAGAGACGGAGACACACGTGGCGATTCACTTGACACGCGCGCACACGCGCGCGCGCCATCGCTGCACGAAGAACACGTCACCAAGCAACAAATATGCCGAAGCACATGAAAACTTCTGAGTCTTCGCTCGCACGAAAGCGCGCTGCGCTGATTCGATCGCCCTCGAAGGTGTCGAAGCGCGCGCCTACGACGGACACGAAACTGTGCACGCCCGAAGAGCGCGCGCGCGAACGACGTCCTCGTCTGTTGCTCGAAGACAACAGCGACGCCGACGACGACTCAGCGAAAAAATCAGATGGAAATTCGAACGACGATCGCGCGAAGGCGTCGGTCGAACACGACGCCGCCCACGGCGCCAACGCTGTGCCTCTGACATCGCAGGTTGCGGCTGTAACCGTCGCCGACGTTGCCGCTCAAATCGACGCGCGCGGGTCCGTGAGCATCGCCGCGGATCGCGCCGGCAACAACGCGATCACTCAAGGAAAAAAAGGCGTGTTCGCCGTCGCCGCGCCGAATCCGTTACAGCGCAAGATCGATTCGGTCAAGCGCGGCCTGACGCTGTTACAGTCCGCGTTCGACGTGCCGAACGTGAACGAACTCGACGAACACGACAGAGTTCGTTTGCGCCAAACGTTCGTCGAAGCGACGGAAGTTTACGCGCACGACACGCTTATATTAAGAGCGTACGATCGAGCGAACGATGAGTACGACTGGCCTGCGCTCATCAGCCACGTTACGAACGTCAAAACTATGCTGAGAACGACGCAGACGTGTCTTCAGCAACAACTCAAGTCGGGTCCGCCGAAAGCGTCTCAGCCGCAACTCAAGTATTTACAATCACTTGGGTACGATGAGAACGCCGGCGGTAACACCAAGCTCAACGCGCTCAACATGGACGAGGCGAGAATGCTCATCACGTCGCTCAAAGCTGCCAAAGCTTTCAGAGACGCCTGAATTGACCGTGTTTTGTCCTCGGCGGCGCGCGCGTCGACAAATTTTGTACGATGCGAGAATGCTCATCACGTCGCTCAAAGCTGCCAAGGCTTTCAGAGACGCCTTAGTTGCCCGTGTCTTTTCCTCATCGGCGCGCGCGTCGACAAATTTTGTATGCACCTCGTCTTACATGTCCGCGTGTACATACATTGCTCACGCTTTTTGTTGTAATGTAAGCTAATAAAGATGTTCGAATACATGCAACGTGTACCTGAAAGGCAAATCTTTAACATCGTATGGTGACCCCGCGCCAGCGCTTACTTGTAGAGATTGGCAATCTCTATAATTCTATAATTTTTAGAGAAAAAGGGGCTCGTGACTCGTCGCGACGACGAGTCAATTTTAGAAAATAGCGGGTGAAAAGGAGATCCGTTGGACCGCGAGCCGAACCGGCATTCGTCGCCATGCAAACGCCGAGTGCGGAGCGCGCCGAAGCGCCGGACGCATTCGAATCGCAGTCCGACGCGACGGGAGACGATGTGCACGACCACGTGCCGCTGTCCGCGCTACGCACCGTCGTTAGGTCGTCTGGTGGCGCGCCCTCTGCGGCGAAAGGTGGGCGCAACTACGCGTGGACGAACACCGAATCGCTCGCCGCTTTACTCGCGCGCGAAGGCGCCAATAACAAAGAGCAGCGCGAGAAGACTGATGTCAGGGCCAAAGACTGCCAACGTCGCTTCATCGGTGCACTTCGCGTCGTAGAAGCTTCGCACGCGGAGCTCGAGCAGAAGAACATATCCGGCCCATTTTTGCCCATCCTCTACCGCAAAGCGAACGTCGATATGGCCGCGACGCCGCAACAAGCGGCGACGCAACGCGGCGGAAACGAAGGCAAATCGGTGCTTGTACGCGGAGACGCGATC